AGAGTTAGTAGTTTATTTTATTACTACCTGTAATTTATTGCAGTTTACTTGTATTTGCTTAATTGTTTACTAAATGTTTGAGGTGTGAAATAAACCGCAATGGAGCAAAATATGTGTGTGTGTGGTTGGAGGATGTGTTTGTGTTTGTGCGTGCGGGGGGGCATTTTTGTAAAACAAAGGGGGGCCTAGCAAAAAAAGTTTGGGAACCACTGATCTAATGTAATGTGGGAAACCCAGGATCTAGAGAATCGTCAAATCCCCGCTAAGTTTAAGCTGGTCAGTATGCATGTTTTCATACCTCCGTTGGACTCGGAGCTCCTCCAGACGCCGCAGCAGAGACAGACAGTGGGCCTCCACTGCGCTGGCGTAACCTCGTGCGAATGCCCTCACCTCACTGGCTGTGGCCTCAACTCGTGCCTGCAAAGTCTCCTGAGATGCTTCCACCTGTGCCAGTGGAAATGTATATTATAGTTCTAAAAGCAGATACTGGGTATTTAAAATAATAAGCTTAACAAACTGTGCTAGAACAGGTTTTCAGAACGAGTATGTGGCTTTTTTTCTCCTCTGAGGTGACAGCGGCGGTGCCCTTTGTTTAACTGTGAGCTACCCAAATTTCATGCCACTTGTTGTAAACATGAAGCGCTGGCAATGACAGAAGGTATTGGGACACTGGCTCAAAAGTCTGTATATCTTCCCAATAAAATGGCAGTCTTCACCTTCTGCAGTGACTCCTCCAGTCGCTCAAGTCGGGGTCGAAGGTGCACGTTAACCAGCTCTCTGATGCGGTCCCCATGGCGATCGATAACATCACGTGTGGGGCAGCAGCGGTGGTCGCGATGCAGCGTGGCGGCACACTCCAGGCAGACGGGCAGGTCGCAGGGCTGACAGAAAAGCCGCAGCTCCTGTCCCGGGTGCAGGGTGCAGAGGACAGGCCGGACCAGACGACCACAAGCCTTCAGCTCCTCCAAAGCCTGAATGGAGTGAGATGCTGTTCGCTTCTGCCGTCTGAGGACACACAGACATATGAGCACATCTTTAAGTCAGAACACAGATCTGGATTTCCCAGGATGTCTGCTACTGTCTGTGTAGATAGTGTTAGTGTGTTAGTGCAGAGAACGGCTCAGAATCCATCTTGAAGACATACGTAAACAAGATCAGTTAGTGATGAAGAAGAACAGAGTAAAATACAATTTAAACCTCAGTCTCTTCAACGCAGAATATATATTTAAAAAAAACCCTCAAATTTCCACTGTAACTGACTGCAATGCAGAGAGTAGCACAAAACAGCCTTTAATAAGTCACGCCTAACCATTAGTGTTGTGCCACTGTTAGGACAAACACAAAAGACAAACAAACAAATAAACAAAATATCCAGTTGAATAAAAGTATCTGAGAAAACCACCATCAGTTCCTAATATATACAAAGTTTATGGTCTCAGCCAGTAACTCCAGGGGCCTGTCTCGATATGCATACTTGCGTTCTTGTTAACTCGTGATACGTTATCAGTTGGAGACCAAGTACTGTTCCAATTCAAAGTACGCATCAAGCCGAAAACGCAAAAAATTTCCGGATGCGTTCTCGCTCTGCCTGTTTTATCGAGCATGCATCGGTGGTGACTTGTGTGTACTTGGTACAGCTAAATTTCCCAGAATGCATTTAGTCCAAAACCCAAATGCAGCAATGGCAGAGGAGCGCAGCTAAAAACTTTTAAATATTACTCTTTCTGGGTCACAAAATAAACTTTTAAGTTATCAAGCAAGAATGAAGCTGTGTAAACTTCAAAGATCTGCTCGATTTATCAAGATATCAAATATTTCCAAACGTGATCCGATTTCGGAGACGTCTGTTACCAACCAGCTCCATAGCAGACCGGGAGGTTGAGGATCACAAGAGCCGGTGAGAACAGCGGACTCCTGGCACATCGTTTACAGAGATATATTTCAATTCAGGAGGAAACATTTTCACCGGGAAAAAAAACAGCATGTTAATACATGGAGATTCTGAAGGCTGCTTCAAAATGATCAGATTATATTTTAAATATTTGTTCAGTTCTCTTCCAAACCCCAGCAGCTGTCTATTGTAATTTTTGAGTGTCCACTAAAATAAAAATAAAAGCCTTCTAACATCTCACCTGTTTGTTTTTATTAAGGCATACACGTACACAATTTTTATTAAAAGTGATTTCGCTACTGAGGTTAAACCTGGTATACAAGTCACTTAGATCATTTCTAATTGTTAATGTTTGGTTTATTTCAGTGTTTTATTTGTTCCTGGGCAGATCGGTTTGGCTGAGATTTAAGTTAAGCTTCATAACATATTAATCACAGTTAAATTAAGAGGGGACGGCAGCAAAAACTCCTGACCTGAGACATCATCAAGTACGCTGGTGTTCCAGTTATACAAATCGTGTGTCCATGATCGTGTTCTTGGAAGGATTGAGGAAGGATCCAGGTCTTAATGAATAAAACATGCTGCATAATTTGCAAATTTTTGTCACCAAACAGCAGTGTGCTTTTTGACCTCTCAGGGCCACAGTAGCCTAAGATGCACAGCCTGACACTTGGAGATCTCAAAAAGGAATGGATGACGTTTTTTGCAATAGCCATCTTCCATTTACAGTCTGTGGAACAGACTCAAACGAAAACCAAACATTTTATCAAGCAGTAGAAGTAATAGATTACAATTTTTAAACACGGTAAAAACCTAATTTAATACATTAGACAGCAAAAAACAAATAAACAAAAAACAGCATGTGGGATGTACGAAGGGATAAAGAAAACTGAGCTAAGGCATAATAGCAAAACAGAATTAAAAACTAGCCTCGGAGCCAACTGTACCTATGCGCTTGGCAGCAGAACTCGCACAGGTTGACGGAGCACACCTCGCAGCGGCTCCCAGCACCTCCTTCTCCGCACAGGTCGCATCCCAGCGGGCCGTCCGTTTCCAGGGTCTCCACGAATACTTCGTCCAGCGCTAAGTGGTCGGTACTCAGCCCGACGTGCCCGGACGGAGGGAGGTCTACCTCTGAGTCACAGTCAGGGCAGAGCACCGTGATAGTGACGGCGGGTCGGTCTGCCTCCAGTGGTTTGTCCCGCTTACCGCCCTCCGGAACATCCCGTTGTATACGTGAAGACACCGAAAACGGCTCCAGCTGAGCGATGCAGTCAGAGCAGAACGTGTGCAGACACGGCAGGATTTTAGGGTCCCGGTACAGGCGCTTACACACCTTACACACCGCTCTGGGATTCACCAACACGTCGCTCTGCTCGCGTCCAGAGCTCTGTGCTCCCTGCTCCGACGTTTCTTTCTGCTCAGACTGCGACATTGTTCAGTTTGGGTGATTTCTGGAGCAAGAATAAAGGGGAAAAACCCCAGCGAGTTCGAAAAAGTTGTCAGAGCTGAAGGAAACTTCTGTATAATCCCCTTTCTGCATAATAAATCACACGTTTTCTGCACTGCGGCAATCCACCCCATTCATTAATTAAAAGGCCATTCGAAAGCTCCACTTTTGATCATGAGAAGTTTACTGCTCCATGGGACATTTGACACCTCTCTCATTGGCAGACCAATAGGAAACCTCTCCCGGGCTATCCGGGGTGGTCCAAAACTTTACCGAAGTCTTCAGCACAGTGTGGGACTTTGACTGCCCCCATCTACCGGCAGGACGGTGGAAGATATATCCACTCACTGCCTGCATTTAAACCAGCGGTCCCCCGGGCCACGGACCGGTACCGGGCCGCGAGAGTTGATGCTCGGGTGTGAAATTTACGTTTTTCAGGGTTTTTATCGTTAACTCGGTTTGCCTGGGTCTTTTCCCGTGTTGTAGTTGTGTCTTATTTTGAAAAGAAATATTTACGTTACCATAGCGACCAGAGAGCAGAGAGGAGGACGTTATCTTAATGTTGTTGGCGCATTTCAGGAGGACGCTGCTAAAATAGTTACACTATTACACAGTGAATTCGCGTTTATTATTTACAAAATATCACAGTTTTTGTCTTGGTTGTGTCATTTTTTGTTGTATTTATCCGCAACACCGGTCTGTGAAAATACTGTCAGACATTAATTCAATTCAATTTTATTTATATAGCGCCAAATCACAACAAAAGTCGCCTCAAGGCGCTTCATAGATACAGAGAAAAACCCAACAATCATATGACCCCTTTTTAGCAAGCACTTTGG